AAAAGGTGTTGTGGAGTTGAAAAAAAAAAAAAAAAAAAAAAAAAAACCAGAAGAGATATACTGTGGTTTTGGGAAAACCAAAACTTCCCAAACCACAACGAACTCTCCCCTGAGGAAATGGGCTAAGGCACGATCCCTCATCGCTGGAAACGCCGTTGCTTGATTAGTCGTTGCACACTGAGCTGCCCTTTCTTTTCAGCTCTGTTGAACAATGTCCACAGTCTGACTTCTAGAGATTTTTGGCTGATTCTCTACCTTGATCACTTTTCCTGCACATGTACGAGAGCTTTCTTGCCAAAGCTCATTTCTTCATGCTTCATAAAACCTTTTATGGGCTACTTTTTTGGCATAAAGTCCCCATCCTCCATCCTTTGATCTGCAGACTCTGCATGCGCAAAACTAGTACTGAGTAAGAATTACCCTTCCATTAGCACAGCCGTGTCCAAAATATACCACTCCGCAGTTCCACTTGGAAAGCCTGGGGGCTCTTTCCTATGATCCTTACATCCCTTGACCTCAACCCTGGCCCCATCCCATTATTAATCTCCCAGCGAAAAGAAGAGCTGAGACCCACTTGTGGATTGTGGCTATCTCCCCTGAAGTAACGATTGCAGTCACCCTTACCCGTTACTGCACATTCGTTTGGAGCATGGCTGCTTTTAAAAAATGGATCATGACAATATTCCAAATGCAACGGCTTTGATCTCTCTGCCAAAAGACATCTGCTTGCCTCTTATGACAATTTTACCTTCCAGGTTCAGGCCAAAATGGCCCCTCTGCTCCCAGCGCCTGTCTCCCTGCTGGAGTATCATTCCCGGCTCCTTTGTTTCCTTGGCTTAGTGCTATCATCTTCTCCTTCCCACACTTTCGCCTTCTCGTTCCATGCAATATTTTACCTCCGACCAGGAGAAATTTTGCAGCTGACAGGCGATTGTATTGTCTTTGAAGTGTGCTGGCTCTATGGGAGCCTCTGGCTGGAGAAACAACTTACTGGAATTACTTAGAAGAATCCTTTCCGCTTTTGTTTCCTTCTCTGTATTTACTCATGGATGAGAAGATCAGCGATCAAGAGGGGAAGTACCAGACACTCAGTCCTCCCTGTGAATCAGCAGAGGATGCATTCCCCCAGCCCTGCTTCCTCCCTCCCTACTGAGTGATGAAATTGAACAGAGTCCCTCTCCCCTCTCCCTCCACTTCCCGACCTTATCCTCTCCTCTTTCCAACACCTAGCCTTAGGGTTATGTCTGCTTGGGATAGGTGTTATCCACCTGGCAAGAAGCCTGACCAGAATCTTCCCTACCTTACCCCACCCCCATCCAAAATACATGTCCTTTGGCTTTTACCTGACCCCCTTCTCCCTTTGCAAAATGCAGAGACAGGCATGGCTTCTGTGGACCGCAGAAGATTGTTCAACTGCTTCGAAATTATGATTTGCTTGCAGATCTTGAAACAAAAGCCCCTGTGTCTATAAAAATGCCACAGGATTAAGCCTTTGTTTAGGTCACTTTTGAAAAGAAGTGCGATCATGCAAATAACAAGCACACCTGAGTGCTAAATGAGCTATCAGATGACCTAACAGACTGAGCTAGGAAATTGAATCCAGCACATGGCCTTCATTCCTGCAGAACGCTGGTCAGCTGCACTTCGCCAAGGACCCTCATCTCTCCAGACTCTGTGCCTTTGTCTCCAACAGGGTGTCTGCACCCAGGCCTGCTGATGGAATGGGAAAGATGAGCAAGAGAGTGGGACAATTTGATAATGGGAACACCCATGCAGAGCGCACTCACCAGTACCCAGGGTGCCATTAGATGGCTGAATGAGCTGTTTAGTCTAATGAGACCACAACCCACCAATTACCAAACCAGAATGAATAAACTAGAGTTGGAGTCACCCCAACACTCTGGCACGTCTTCATTCAAAGGGGAACAAACTGACAGCAAACTCTGGCAATTGTTATACCTCTACCACCTGAGAAAGCAGCCTGTGAATCCTAAAATCTTACTGCTGATGGGAGACCTTTGAGAGTCCCTGAAGTCCTACCCTCTCCTTGAAAAGAAGTTCTAGGAAGTTAGAATAACCAAGATCACACAGTGGTCTTTTACAAATGGATTAGAAATCTAAACCTTAGTGTGCAATGTTCATTCATTCACATGCGAGTTCTAATAATGGCATTCCTTGGAAGGTTACCTAATAAAAACTAAGCAGTGATTGTAAAGTTATCAAATCACATTCAGGAGTGCCCACATATACAGACCCTGTCTGAGAACTCTGAAGCAGAGTAGTTACCATCTTCCTACCAGATAACCCTGGATTTCCCATAGAGGCCCCAAATTCAGTGCATCTGTAACCCAACTTAGCATTCCCCCAAGCTCATCATCTCCATCAAATTCACCACCTCCATCATACCACCTGAGGGGTACATGCATCCTGAGTTCCTCTCAACTTTTGCTTGGGTTATTGCATGCAACTGCCTCCAGACAGTCTCCCTGCCTCATCCTCCACCCCTTCTCCCCCACCCTTGGCACTGCAGCCAACAGTGAATGATACAAAATGCAAAACTAGATCCTGTTGCTCCTCCTTGTCAAGGTTCCCAGTGCTTCTCAGGTCGAAGTAGGAGAAGGTTCCATCTCTGCAGTGTTGCACCCAGACTATTCTGATTTGGCCTCTGCCTTCATTTCCAGCCTAGTTTCTCTGCTGTCCCCCACACACCCTGCCACACAAAAACACACACATGGTCTCCACCACAGCTGCACCTTTGTCCATGTTATTCTCTTTTCCTACATGACTACAAGTAGCTACTGGCTCCTGGACTTCAGTCTACTCATCCTTCAAGGCTCAACTCAAATGCTTTTTCTCTGAAATCCTCTTGCACTGCTAAAGCTCTTATAACTCTTGTTATAGTGCTATATAAATGAACAAAACAGAAAAATTATCTTACATTAAAAAGCTCACACTAGATAGATGAGATAATAACCAAATGTATTATCTGATATAATACTATGTACAAATAACTATGTATTATCTTCTAGTGATATACGTGCTGAGAGGAAAAACATAGCCGGTGAGAGGACAAAATAATGGGAGGATTATTTCAGCCAATAGTGTCAGAGACAGTAACTTGAGAGATTACAAAAACATTTCTTTAAAAGGGAAATCAGAAGGCCAGTCCTGTGGCATAGGAGTTAAGCACAGTACAGAGGAGGCTCGATCCCACACAGCCAACTGCAGTTCGACTCCTAGCTCCAGGGCCTTGGAAAACATGCTGAGTACATGCCCAGGATCCAGACAGAATGGACAACTGGAGAAAAGGGGACTATGGTGTGGCCAGGCCCCACTGGGGGGTGCTCTCCCTCTCTTCTTCTCTTTCTTTCTCTCACACATACATGTGCATGCACTCTCTAGCATTTAAAAAAAGAAAAACAAATCATAGAGGCAAAATTCGAAAAGGTGATTACAAACAAGGAGGGAGGGAGAGTGTACAGGGAGGAGAATGTAGTTGTCAGTATTTTAGTTCTGGGATTGGTTGGTGGTTTCGTAGGTCTCGTGATATGTATTTGTTACATAGGGAATAACTAGCAAAACAGTGCATGAACTAAAGGTGACAGTGTCATGAGCCAAGAATGAACCCAATCTGACTCTGTACACTGGAGAGATCGAAAAATTATTTTCCTGGAGCTAATATGTTCATTATTCTGAAATAAATGTCTATTTTGGTTATATTTAAAGAAAACTTTCTAAGTGAACACCTGCTTAATGAGAAATTCTGCTCAAAGATTTTGATGGATTCCTTTTTTCCCAGTCGCTGCTGTCTTTAATACTTCCCAACAGGATACATTAAGCAGCACGTAGTTCACATCCCAGGTCAGGCAGACCCTTGGGCTGGACAGTGCTGGGCAGAGTACACCCTATTACGGTTAGTCCCAACTCTGACCCAGATGCTCTGACAACTCTGGCACTCACTGGAGGATGCTGGAGCACAGTGCCAGAAGTTGGGCAGACCCAAGGTCCAGTCCCAGGTCTGTTGCCACTACCTAGCTGAGCCTCGGTTTCTCAGTTGTGTACTGGAGTGTGTCAGTTCCTAGGACTGCCTAACCAAGTGCCACAAACTAGGTGGCTTAAAACAACGGAAGTGTTTTCTCTCATAGTTCTGGGACATGGACACTCAAAAGCGAGTTGTCAGCAGGGCCATCTACCCTCTGAAGGCATTAGGGAAGAACCGTCATCTTGCCAATTCTCACTCTTGGTAGCTACTGGCAATCCTTGGCGTTTTTTTGGCTTGTAGCTGCATCTCTCTCATCTGTTTCCTCATCACCTGGTGCTCTCTTTGTGCATCTCTGTATAATCACACGGCCTTCTTATAAGGGCGCCAGTCACTGAATTTAGGGCCCACCTCAATCCTGTATGACCTCCTCTTAACTAATGCCATTTGCATTGATTCTATTTCCAAGTAAGATCACATTTTTAGGTTCTAGGTTGACATGAATTTTGGAGGAACACTATTCAATCCACTACAGGGAGAAAATGACATATAACTCAAAGGGCTAGTATAAGGATTAAATTAGATAGTGTACATAAAGCACCCAGCACAATATAAGCATCAATAAATTTGAACTGCTAATATAATCGTCATCATCCATCATCTCAAAGAAAGGGTTCTACTTCTGAAAACATTCCATCCCACCAGCGAAGGTGACCACAGATGAAACTGTCCAACTGACCTAGGTTTAAATCTTGGCTCTGTCTTGATCAGCCATGAAACCTCTGGTAATCTACTGAATCTCCCCCATGAGCTTCAGTTTATCACGCCCTGTCCTTTGTACGCCATTTACTATATGCTACACACTGCTCTAAGAGATTTATAAATATTGTCTCAGTCAATCTTCAGAACAACCCTGTGAATGAGACACTTTTGTTTT